TAGTGTTTTTTTTTTAATTTTTATTGTTGAAAGTATTACGTATGTCACCTTTTTTCCACCATTGACCCTCTCCATCCCACCCCGTATCAAGGCTTCACCACCCTATTGTCTGTGTCCATGGGTTGTGCATGTATGCATACAAGTTCTTTGGTTAATCTCTTCTCATCACCCAGCCTTCCCCACCTTCCCTCTGCTATTTGTCAGTTGGTTCCATGCTTCTATGTCTCTGGATCCATTTTGTGTGCATTCAAGTTCTTTGGTTAATCTCTTCTCATTACCCAGCCTTCCCCACCTTCCTTCTGATATTTTTCAGTCAGTTCCATGCTTCTATGTCTCTGGATCCATTTTGTTCATCAGTTTATTTTGTTCATTAGATTCCACATATGAGTGAGATCATGTGATACTGGTATCATCCTCTTTTTTACTAAGTTTTCTTTTCTTTTCTTTTTTTTAAATTAATCAATTGGAGAATTCAAGTGTTTCTGGCTTTCATATGAATTTTTCTTTATCTTTTTTTTAATAGGTGATAATGAAGAAGAAGATGTTGACATGAAAGAAGATTCAGGTATTAAATTTATAAATTTATCCTTAGAGGAAGGGAAAAAATCATCCTTTTGATTATGTATATTTTACTTTTTTAAGAAAAGACAAAATAAGGTTTATGAAATGTATGTTCAAGATCATAAGATAAAGTAGTTTTGCTAACTCTTATGGCTAATATAGCTACTATATTTAAGCATTAAATTTTACTTTGAGATTCCTGACTTAAGGTAAAAAGGAAACATAAGGTTGTAGTTAATAGAGTTGTGTAACAAGTCACCCCCAAAACTAAGTGGCTAAAACACCCACTCATTGTGCCCATATTTTTCTGTGGACCAATAATTCAGACAGAACATAGCAAGAGTGACTTGATAATCCTCCTTCACAGTCCTGAGGCCTCTGCAGAAAAACTCAACATCTCTGGGCTGAAATCTTCTGAAGATTCCCTCACGCACATGCTTGCCTGGTGACTAATAATGGCTATCAGGTGAAACCTTAGCCGGGGCAGTTTTCTGAAACACCTATGCATGGCCTCTTTATGTTGGTTGGGCTTCCTCATAGCATGGCTGCCAGGTTCCAAAGTGGTTTATAGAGAGAGTGAGCAAGCCAGAGGGAGCTTAGCCTTTATAGGACTCAGCCTCAGGAGAACTGTAGCATCACTTCTACTGAACTTTTTTCGGAACAGTCAGTCAATTCACCTCGGCTTAAGGAAAGAGAAAATAGACTCAATCTCTTAATGAGGAGCAGTGAGGTTCTGCAAAGCATGTAGGACCTGAAATGTTGCTGTGGGTATTTTTGGAAAATACATTTTGTACATGTAATATATTGTCTCATTATCAGAAATTAAGATGCCTGCCAACTCCTCCAGAAAGACTAGTGTTTGATGAGAGAAATCTAGTGGCGAAAAGCATAGGCTCTGGACTGAGGTAGCCACTCAATCTGTGCCTGATAATGAATGCATTTCTTTATAGGACTCAGCCTCAGGGGTACTATAGCATCACTTCTACTGAAATTTCTTTGGAACAGTCAACTCACCTCGGCTTAACGAAAGAGAAAACAGACTCAATCTCTTGAGGAGCAGTGAGGTTCTGCAAAGCATTTAGTATCTGAAATGTTGCTGTGGGCATTTTTGGAAAATATATTTGTACATGTAATATATTGTCTCATTATCAGAAATTAAGATGCCTGCCAACTCCTCCAGAAAGACTAGTGTTTGATGAGAGAAATCTAGTGGTAAAACGCATAGGCTCTGGACTGAGGTAGCCACTCAATCTGTGCCTGATAATGAATGCATGAATCAACAGGCCTGAATTCAATTCTGGTTCCATCACTTTTTTACTTTGGGCAACAGTCTTTTCTCTATAATCTCAGTTTATACCTGTGGGGGCAATAACTCACCATATAGTCTTATTTGAGGGATTACATTATATCAAGTCCAAAATGTTTCTTGGAGCATAATAAACACTCAATAAATTATTACTTTTCTCTATCTCATTCTAACAAATACTGAAAGGGTATAGGACTTAATTCTATGGTATAAGTTCCCAATTCCGATGGCTACCCTACTCAAGGCATGAATTAAATCCAGATTTCAAAATGAAAATAGATATCTTAGCAGTTCTAATTTTTGTGTAACTTCTATTCAATTTCATAACTGCCTACAAATCACTGACAACCTTAGTCTGAGCAGCTCCATTAACAGGAGGCAACCAATCTCATTAGGTAAAGTTTGGTTAAAATTGTCCTTCTCCTTGTTAAATCAAATTTACCTCCCTTCCCTGATCTCTCACTGTCCTCCTGGAGAAATAACACTGGTTCCTTTTCTTCCTAATGTTATGCCCAGATTACAAGATCCCCCAAAGATCCACCAGGGAGCGCCGAGTCCGATGCAAAAGCAAAGAGTCTTTATTCAAGCTAGCTTGAGCTCCCATCAGCCACACTCGCCGATTCAGTGGCAACAGGCAGAGAGAGAGAGAGCCCTGTGGGAAGAGGGATTTTATATGGGAGTTGGAGTAAGGGGAGGAGAGAGGACTGTGATCTTCCTGGAGAAATAACACCGGTTCCTTTTCTTCCTAACAGTTCATTGGAACATTGATAATTGCTTCTATCTATTCTTCTTCAGTCAGAACACGTCTGATTTCTAAAGTTCCCTTGTTCTCCTCAGGGCAATATTCAGAGGGTCCTAGAAGCAGAGGGACAGACTCTAGACTTTGGGAGCAAGAAAGAACTAGGTGGATGGGGCATGGTAGCAGCAGCTGTCAGTTTCCTACCTGTGTCCCCTTGACATTCACTGTCACTTTCCAACTTCAACAGCTTTCTGAGGAAAGTTCTTGCTACTCTCTGCTGAGTGCTTTTCTCTGCTCATGAAAGCAAGCTCAAAATACCAGGAGATTAATTTCTCTGGAGCAAGCAGTTCATTGGAACATTTATCATTGCTTCTATCTATCCTTCTTCAGTCTGAACACGTCTGATTTCTAAAGTTCCCTTGGTCTCCTCAGGGCAATATTCAGAGGGTCCTAGAAGCCTCAATCAAGGATAGACATGAGTTGATAGCCCCTCTGTAGGACGCATCAGAGGCATGTTCTTCTCCAGCACTGTTCAGTAGAAATATAATGCGAGTCTCAAATGAGAGCCTCAGGTATAATTTCAGATATTCTAGTAGTCACATTGAAAAAAAAAAGAGGATTTAATTGAATAATATTTTAATAATATTTATGTAACATCATATATATAAAACATAATTTCAATATATAAATAATATAAAAATTAGTCAGATATTTTACTTCTTTTCATCCTATGTTTTTGAAATTTGTTTGCATTTTACATTCACATCTCAATTCAGACTAGCCACCTTTCAAGTACTCCTGGGCAGTATGTGGTGTTGGACAGTAAGATTCTGTATCATTGCCCAGAGGTTCCCAGGAGAACTGAGCCCTGATTGTTTACTGTGGAACTTGCTCATTAGCACACCCAGCCTTTGGCTGCCTTTCCTTTTCTGTTTCACTTCCCTACTCCCCTCTGGTGTTTCCTGGGATAATCTCTCTAAGTACTAACATTCAAACCTTTGTCTCAGTGCCTTATTTCTGAGACAATCCAAACTAAAACAAGATTCTGCTTGCCTTTTGTAAAACACAAAGGCCAAGATAAAATTTAAATTAAAGTGTCAATTCATATACCCATGCAGGATGTCTCATTATTTAAAAAAAAGAAAGAAAAAAAAAGGAAACAACTTATGTTGAAAAATGACTTTAAGTGGTCACCTTGTCTTGGATTGCATTCATGAATTTAACGTTAATGTTTGCTATTCTCATTTAGCCTGCCCACATAAAGTATCCTTGGAAAATCCTTCAATATTCCCAGCAAGGGAGTATTGTCCTTTTAGCTAGCCAGCATCAAGACCTTATCTTGCTAAGGATCATTTGCCTAAGTGCCATAAGCATACATTTCTAGGCAAAGGGAGTTGTCTTGTTAATGAGATGCAGAGAGCTGTCCAAACCACGGAGTGATTTGGAGGAACTCATCAGTAATGCTAATGAAGAGCCCACTAGGATGGAGTCAGCACTTGCAGTTTGGAGTCCTTAATTGGATCACCACGTCTGATTTTAGTCCCACCACGTTTCCTGGGGGTTTTGTCTCCAGCAGCTGGGCGCAGCTGTTCAAGGGTGCAGGCAAAATGGACTTTGGAAGGTGCTCTCCATTTCCTAATATCTATGATTGCTGAAATCATGGGTGATTTCTGTGCTGGATGGTTCCATGGGGTGCCAGCTGGGCTTGTCAGGCATTTGGTGAACAGGCTGGCTTCAGTTTCGATCGCACATTTGGGCATGTTGGTCTCCAAGATGGGTCTGAACAAGTTTCCCAAGACCATTAGCTGCTGCTTCCCTGCTACCGTGCATCACCTCTTCTTCTCATATAAGTAGAAATGCTGGAGGGACTTTTTAAGAATGGAATTAATGAAAATGATAGGCTACTTGAGTGAAGCAACCAGCCAACAAATGCTAGTAGATAATAGTGGACAATTATTTGAATACCAAAAGCCAGTGAGGTGCTGGTAAACTGGCTCTCTGGGTGGAAGAAGCCCCAATGTGAAGAGTTTGCAGATTTCGTGATGTAAATACACCTACTTGGTATTGTTAAATCTACCAAGCATGAGGTTGATGCATGTCAGAGTTGAGGAGAGATGGGTACAATAAGCTGGTGTGAGCTGGTTTAAGTCAGCCCCAGCATACCTCTGCTGAGTCATATTTTAATTGAACATGTACCTTGTACCAATCCCTCAACATACATGAACTCATTTAAGATACACAACAACTCTAGGAGGCCGGGAATGTTATTACTGAGGCTTAAGAAGGATTGGTTCCTTGCTTAAATACTAGAAACAGAATTTAGTTGTATCCTATCTCAAAACTCATATTCTTAAGTTTGTGCTCCTGTCTTCAAACTATAATAGTAAGTAGAGGCAGGAACATCTCAGTTGATATCAGACTAGGTCAGTGGTTGGCAAACTGCCGCTCGTGAGCCACATGCGGCTCTTTGGCCCCTTGAGTGTGGCCACGAAGTTTCAATCACACTCTACGTATGCGCCCGCACGTGGTATTTTGTGGAAGAGCCACACTCAAAGGGCCACAGTTTGCCAACCACTGGACTAGGTCATCCTCAGGATGAGGCTCTGCCCCCATGGGGAAATGGTAGGAACAGACTGGTTTAAATGCCTACGGTTTATTTTAAGTCCTTTAATATTTCTGTAATCCTAGCACAGTAAATGTTTTCCTAGGTCCTTCCATTTCCATGACCTGACCATGCACTGTTCCCAAACTGAGCCAGCAGGGACAGAAAACCGGCAGCCACCCATGCCATTTCAGCCACATGAGAGCCAGGAACAGAGCTGAGTTCCTCAAGTGGCAAAGCCAAGCTCATGGCAAATGTCCAGGTTTCCACTCTGCCAGAATCAGAGACAACATACATAATGTAATACACTGTCAAGGAGAAGCGTGGGTGCTTTTTTAGAAACATTTCTTTAGCTTCCCAGGCCAAGAGGGAGAGTGGTTCCTGCTG